CGACAAATACTATGTAAAATATAAGTGCACAGAAATTTAGATAAGTTAATAAATACCTGCAATTCATAAATCTTAACAATAAACCACCTTCCCATCTACGCTAATAAATTTTTGAAGAGGCTAGCTGGTGAATTAGATTACTCTATTGAAGATGAGAATGCATTCAAGTACCTAATATGTATCTTTTAATCTCAAATGTATCATATTGTTGGTGATTTACCTTTAAAATATACTTTTTTATAATTAATTCCATGAAAAGAATACCCATTTTGGTGAACTAGAAGCGTAAAGTTTTTTGGTGTAATAGAAGTGTAAGATTTTAAGTTTTAAAGTGCAGTTTAGTCCGATTTTATACACTAAAGTTTTTATATGGAAACAAAAGCGTTTTGATACCCTAGAAGCATAAAACCATAAGTTTTTAAGTTTTAAAACGCGGTTTTGACTGCATTAGTTGTGAATTTTGTTAAAAATTCGACCCACTTAGTCAAAATATTACTGTCATTTAAACTTTTGCTCTAAAATCTAATTCTATCATAACAATGCGAGTTGAGTCTGGTGTTAATGAGTTTTGGGTCGGAAGTGAGTTTTACCCATTTTTGTAATTGATGGGTTGGGGTCGGGTATGGATATTAAAAAAAACGATCTTCTTTTCCATCTGACCAATACTAAAAAACAAAACAATCAATTCAGTCAAAGCGGGCTGAATCCAGTGTTGATGAGTTTTTGCTTGGGAGCGAGTTTTACTCGCTTTTGTAATTAACGGGTTGGGTGGGTGTGGATTTTGTTAAAAACATTACCAGCTTTCCATCTAATCCGCACCTAGATAACAAAAAAAAAAGATCCGATAAAAAAAGGTTCAATTCGATGTTGACGAGTTTTCGTTCGGTAGCGAGTTTTACCCGCATTTGTAAGTAACAGATTGTGTCAGGTGGTTAATTTGTTAAAAACTTGGCCCACTTAATTAAAATTTTAGTATCATTTACACTTTCATTGTATTTTATTTTATGACAATTGAGCCCAAATCCATTATTATTCAACCTAATTTCACCCGATCAAAGAGAGTTGAACTAGGTGTTGATGAGTTTTGGATGGAAGAGATTTTTACCTACTTTTGTAATTGACAAGTTGTGTTGAATTTGTATTTTGTTAAAAACTCGGCCCACTTAATCAAAATTTGAGTGTCATTTAAACTTTAGTTTCATTGTATTTTGTTTTAGGATAATTAATCCCGAACCTATGGTATTCAGCCTAATTCGATCCGATCAAAGCGAGTTGAACTCGAAACTGACGAGTTTTGGAATCGGAGTGAGTTTTACCTTATTAATAATACATAGTATGGTTAATAATCATTAAATACCCTCAATATTAATAATTTTGCTTGCGTTTTCAACAAAACACACATTAGATAATAATTTACAACATCGTTATTAAAGGTTAGAGGCATACTTTAATATTTTGTGGATAATAAACAAGATGTGATAACGTGAATCGTTAATAAATATGTTGTAAATCAATGATAATGTTATTCAAATGGTGAATGACGATGTAACATAAAGTTAATAATTCCTTCATCAGTGTTGATGACGAACATATAAATCGTTAGCAATTAAACTAAAAATTTTAATAATGTAATCATAAAGCACTAATAAATATCATTACAAATTTTAATATTGCCACCACAGAAAGAGTGGGCATGTTTAATTTCCAATTTTAAATATTGACTTCAATTTTGAATTATTTAAATATTAAATTATTATATTTAATTGATATATCCCATTTCAACTTTTCTCACTCCTTCTAGCTATTGATTTTAATTTTTTAATAAAATTAATTATTTACTATAGCCTCTTTTTTGCTTTTTTAGGTAGTTAGTCATAAGTTTTTTATCTACTCCTATTAGCTTGCACAAACTTATAAAATTCCTTAAACTTATAGGCTTGAGGATAGGATCTGACCTGAGATTATATGGTTCTGTTTATTCAATTAAGTATACCAATTGGTCCTTTAAGTTGACCATTTTTTAAAAAGACAGAGTAAAACTTGAAAAAGCGAGAGGCAAAACACGAAACTATGATCCTCTCGATCTTTCATATGTCTTATATTGAATTGTCTTATTCTTAGAGATGACAATTTCGTTTAAAACTATGCGTATTTACTTATTCAATCCAATTGGATTGGGCATGAAACCCAAACGCATGGTAAATTAGTATAGTTTGATGGGTTATTCCCATACCCATTTATTGGAGTTGGGTTGGATTTTTAATCCATGAATTTGGGATTGTACTCATAGTAATATCCAAATTATAATGTGATACCTAAAGTTAATATATTAAGAATTAGTACCTAAAACTAACACTAAGGGGTCGTTTGTTTCATGGATTTAAAAATGAGGGTTTTGTAATTTAAAAACCCAAGGATTTATCAAGTATTTGAGGCATCATGGATTTGTAACAATCCTTTGTTTGTTGGGATGTTTTTATCATGGATTTAAAGGTGTGGGATTTACTACTTGAATTCAAAAATTACATTACTACCCTTTTCTATACGTTTGACATGTTTATGATATGTACACAAAACAAGGACAAAACTTCAAAATTACCTTACTATCATTTTCTATATGTTTGACATGTTTATGATATGTACACAAAACAAGGACAATACATACTAATAAGCATAATGTTGCCACATGGACAATAATAATAAACGAAAAAATTCTGTTTTAACTTTTAACGTAACATAATCAATTACCAATTCTTTGTCCTCCTTTTCAAAAGTGACATATAACAACATATATTAGAATCGGGAGAACAAAGAATTACACGTTCCATGAAAAGGTCAAAGAAAACTAGAACACAAGAAATGATATAAAAAATCTAACTCATGTTTGCACATTAATTGAACGTTTATATTATTCATTTATTGTTAATTATAATGTATAATAGTTAAATTTGAGGTCAACCTTGGAATATTAAAAGTGCATGAGGGTATATGAGTAAAATCTCATCAAGGATTTATGCCATATTCCAAATGCCACATCAACATGTGGGATTTATAAGTCCGTGGGGTCCACGGATTTGGACCATTAAAATCCGTGGGTCCCACGAATTTGGTCTCCAAAAAAGATGCAAGCAAACAACGGATTGTACCTAAATCCTTGATAGTTGGTTTTTTTGTACCAAATCCATGTACCAAATCCTTGAAGCAAACGACCCCTAAGTTTTGTTCAAAGCATAGCAAGTCACTTTTTTTTTTCTTCTTGAGATGTGTCAAACCACCTGCCATATATAGTGATTAGTGGTTAACCCATGGAGCCAAATCTCCCACCAGCATTACAACATTCACTGCACTCACTTCTTGGATAAACATTGGGAACTAGCGCATTATAATCTGTGTGTGGGGATGGTCCGCATTATAGTGGTTAACCAATTAGTACTTCTAAAAAAAATCATGGGAAGAGAGACATGAGGAGCAAGTGAAGGTGGAGCCTGTGGGAATAATAATGATTCGCAATCATGATCATGATGATGGATGGATCGACAAGTACAGGGAAACAGAAGACTAGGGCTGGGGTGTGTGGGTTTGCTGCCATGAGAAGGAGAGGGAACAGAGGCTATGAGTGTATGCAAGAACTGAAAAGGTGGAGATCGAGATGGAGAGGAAACACATTCTCTGGCAAATGGATATTGCCAACCCAACGCGACCACTCCCATCTCTATCACTACTTTTATAGCCCATTTTATCGTTTCATTTTGCTTACCTTTTTCCAGGGAACAAACAGCGACACTGATGAGGGCTGAGGCCCTTCTCTTTCTTCGATCTGCTCTTTTTTGGTATGCGAATGAAAGCGGCGAGTTGGATGGGGGGCCTGGCTCCATATTGTCCCTTACCATTCCAAGGGATTCGCATAATCATCAAAACTTGCCTTCACGTGCGAGTGGTAATTATTAGTGTTCATACAGATACAGTGACAATCACTTAGCAGAAGGCACTTTAAGGAGATAGGAACGGCAATCGGCTAGGATAGTGATGGATATCTCAATATTCATCTTCGTCTCGTATTAATTCGGTGTGGATTCAATTGTGTAGTTTTTATGCATGTATAAATTACATATGTCGATCTATTCTGATAATGCGATAAGCAGCGGCGGATCCAGAACGGGTTAGAACACTGGGTCGTATTTAAAAAGCGGTAAAGAGGGCTGAGTCGTAACACTATAAACATTGAATTATATACCCAAAATCGAAAATTTACAAGTACTATACGAGCTTTGGATCCGGGGAGGACTGGGCCGTGGCCCGGGGGCGGCCCCCTAGATCCGCCGCTGGCGATAAGAAGAAAAACATGTAACAATTTGGAAAATATTTTTTTAAAATTAATAATGGAGAGACTTGATGATTTGAGGGCCGGTCAGACAAACATGGTGTACATAAAGAAACCTCGAGTCAAACATCAAGAACGTTAGACGAACAAGGGTTTGAACTAGTGGTAATACCACTAGCATAGAACCTAAAGGTCTCATATTCGAATTCCTTAATTAGTACCTTAATGACAACGACATGAAACATATATCACCCTTATCCAAAAAAAAAAAAACATCAAGAAGGTTAGACAAAAATGACAAAACCACTAACATAAGCTGCGTTGGATCAAGTCCTGCATTATCACTGTGCATTTTCTAGCTCTGTTGAATAGTGTTGAATATGGTTACTTTCAGTCTTAGCACGGTATTTTTTATTGAGTAAATAATATTTTTTAGCCAAATCTTTCCCCCATACCGTAATATTATCCAAAACTATCGTAATACGAATTATTAGCCAAACGTTAATTATCATTTACCATCTCCTTTAGAATGGCTGACTAGGCATGACAATGCTGAGTTGACATCACGATCAATTTCGGTTCTAATTTTAAACCTAAAAAATAATGATTTAAATAAAAGGAAAAGGAAAAATAAACCCTCCAGTCCTGACTTATCACCTCCCTCCTCCGGTCGCTTTCCTATTCCCTCATCTCCGCCCAACGATCTCCCTCCACCATTTCCAGCAGGCGAGGCAGCTAAATCTGTCGTCGCCTGTTAAAACACCATGATCGTTGCGCCTCACTGATTCCAAAAGTCTGACGTCGCCATCCATCTCTGTGTTCCAAACCACCGCGATCAACGCCCCGACTGAGAAGCCAGCTGAAGACGAAGAGAGAGGGACAGTTCAATCGGAGTCCAATCTTTGGCCGAGAAATCTTCAATCAAGGTAAGGTTGATCCAGTTTTTCGATTCGAACCCAATCCCTTTCGAAATTTTTGGTTTGAGCACAAAATCCTTTTCTTCAAAATCGAATCCCTTTTTGTAATTTTAATGTTTCTCAATTTTCGAAAAGTGGAGAATATACAGGGATTGAGAATCGATAAGTTCAATTCAGCTTCTTAGATTGAGAATCGAAAACCGAACCCAAAATATGACTCAATTTGCTTCTTGTTTCTTGGGTGCTTCTGGTGCATCTTGGTTTCTCGATGCTGGGCATTTTATTGCCTTCTGGTTCCGTATGCAGATGCCGAAGGGAAGAGACGACTGCGACGAGGCTCAACGACGGCGGTGGCGATGCTCAAATGCGGCGGTGGAGAAGTTTTGCACGGCGGCGACGAGGGCAGAAAATCAATTCGTGGGTTTTAAAGAGAAGAGGAGGAATTAAAAATTAAAAGCAAAAAATAATAAAAAGACCAAATTTTAATGTTATCATACATGGAAGCTGACGTGTTTGATGAGCTGGACCACCATTAACAAAGAATTAGAGGTAGCAGAATTAATGCTTATATTTCGCAATGTTAATTAACGTTTAGCTAATAATTAGCATTACGATAGTTTTGGCTAATATTAAGAAATGAGGAAAATGTTTGGCTAAAAAATAGTATTTACCCTTTTTTATTTATACATAGGTTTTTTCACCGAAAATTTGTACTATAGTGGGATCTTCCTCTACTTGTGAACTCCAAGTTCATAGGTCATCACCTCTTATTTTCGATCTCTTTTTCACTGACGATTCTTACCTTTTTATTAGTGTGTCTATTCCTGAGCGCGCGAATTTGCTCCTGTTAACAAACGAGAATTAAACAAACAGAAGTGATTTTAACGTGGTATCCCTGGAATGTCAGGACTAATCCACGGGAGAGTTTGTACTCTCCAAAAATAATCTCTACTGTCTTTCTTTAATCTCAGCCGATTACAGAAGCACAATTATATATGCCCATCAACGAAGCACTTGTGCATGGGTTGCATGGGCTCACCACTTGGGCTAATTACCAACCTAATTCCATAATGGGCGGTTATATACAAGTGGGCCCGAACGAGAAACTATTATTGCTCACAGCCTCCACCAAATTGATGTTGGGTGCGAAGCATCAATTTGCTTGACAGGAACCAATGTCGAGCATTGGTGAACGACTTCGTGAAGAGATCCGCCACCTGATCCTCTGTCCCGAGATAATGCAAGTTAATCGAACCATCATGGACCAAATATGTAATGTAATGAATATGGAGCTCGATGTGCTTTGTGCGTACATGCAGCACAGGATTGGTGGCGATCTAAATGGCACTGGTATTATCGACGAACAACTACATGGGGAGAGAACACGTAATGCCAAGATCGCCCCAAGAGCTTACGTAACCAAATCAACTTCGAACTGACATCAGACATTGCCCGATACTCGGCCTCAGTGGATGATTTAGAAACTTTGTCTTGTTTCTTACACCGCCAAGAGATAAATGAACCAGCAAACTGAACACACCATCCAGTTGTAAAGCCCCGAGTATCGATACACCCTGCAAAGTCAGAATCAGAATAGGCACGAAGAACAGGTGAACCACTCGATGGAAAAAACATACCAACATCACGCGTCCCTTGGAGGTACCGAAGAATCCGATGCGCTGCAGCTAAATGATCCACTCGCGGAGACGTCATATACTGATTAACCATCTGCACTGCATATGATATATCAGGTCGTGTAGCCGCCAAATAAATGAGGCTACCAACAAGACTACGATACGTGAAACTATCTGGCAGGAGATCCCCCATGGTGTGACTGAGCTTCCAGCTCAACTCCATAGATGTGCTAACCGATTTACATCCTCAAAATTATGATCACTCAATAAATCACCTATATATTTCCGTTGACTGACTTCAAGACCGAGAAAGTAATGGAGTTCACCCAGATCCTTGAGACTAAACGCTGCATGCAATCCCTGCTTCAACTGCTGAATCCTTAACTCATCATCATCTGTAATAATCATGTCATCGACGTATAAAAGCAATACCACTATACCATCCACAGATGTCTTCGTAAACATGGATGGGTCACTCAAGCTCTGCTGAAACCCAAACTGCAGAATGGTGGACTGAAATTTTTCGAACCACGCTCGATGAGCCTTTTTAAGTCCATAAAAAGAGGGATTAAGAAAGCATACCTGCGAGTCATCACCATATGTATAACCGGGAGGATGCTTGGCTCGCTTGTACTGTCACACTAGAAAGTAGCCAAGTATAACCACCTATTAATGCATAGTATAGCGGGTTTAGTTCTAAATGTCAACCCGGATCCTAGGTGTGATGACTACTCTGTAAGATTCTTATTATTTAGCGGTTAAACTGTAGTGAAGTTCCAACTAAACTAGCAAGCAAAAGCAGTAAATGTTGTGTTCCAAGTTTAAGAGAGGTCACCCAGATATGGTTCCCCCTAGACTGTAGTTAAGCCAAGTTGTAATTTCTCAAGTTAAATTCAATGATAGTTATACTGCGGGAGGTTCTTAGGCAGTCTGCAGTCTCGACTAAAGGTCTCCAGACCCTCTCAATCTGAGTCCCCAACGGGCGGCTAACCTCCACCAGAGTAAAGTTGTCAATTCACTACCTTCAATCAAGGGTGCTCTATCAACCTAGGCAGATATTCTCATTCTAGGTCAAAGCAGGAATAACAGGAATTTGATCATGATTCATGCAATTCAGAAAACCATGCCTCAATTGAATATAATCAATATCAAAGAATTTGCACATGGGTTCATACAACCAGTCCTAACATACAAATCTAGGGTTCTTCATACCCAGGTACATACAAATCTAGGGTTCTTCATACCCAGGTGAGAGAGGGAGTTTACTCCATAGAGAGTGAAGGGAAATCTGCTTCAGATGCAGAAATCATTATGTGAAGGATGAGGATCTGCTTGTGGTAATCAATCGGCACTCCTCCAAGCTTCCGCCAAGCTCCAATGGTGTTGAAGATCGATTTAAGGCACTTGGAAGTTCTGTTCGTCACTTTCTCTCTCTAGGTTTTCTGCTCTCTAGCTCTCAAAATCAGATTCCCCTTCTCTTTGGCTGAAATCTCCTTGTAACCTGAGACTGGGCGAAACACGGTCGAGGACACAACTGTATTTTGCTTCATCCCGCCCGTGTTTTGCTTCACTTGTGGCAAACACGCCAACGTCGCTCCCATTACACGGTCGTGCCCAATAAGTGACACGGCCGTGTTTTGGTCTAATGGCGCCCGTGTTTTGGACCCTCAGCAGCCATCATGAGCACTCACTCGGCAGTAAAAACTTGGCCTGGGGAACATGGCCGTGTTTTTGAAAGGGTTGCCTGTGTTTTTGCTCCAGCTCCACTGAACGACCTCCAAACGACCCGAAACTCGTGCCTAGCCTCTCCTTCGATGCTTGGGACCTGAAATGTGACAAAATAGCAAAACCCAGAGTAAAATAGGCCAAAGATGCACGACTAGGAGTAGCAAACGGTTAAGAAATAAGGGTGCAAACATGTGCAAATACATCGTTATCAAATCGCCCCCCCCCAACTTAATCGTTTGCTTGTCCCCAAGCAAACCAAGTCAAACACAAGGTGCTCAAAATATTTGGGACATGTCATATCGACACAAAACACGTGAATCACACTAGTCTTTAGTCATCAACACATGAACAACCTCAACGGCAACCTAGACAACCACCATAGATGACATTTGAGTGCAGCAAAATCGAGCAAAGGAAGAGTCTCCCTTATGTTCACCAACCAACATAGACTCGACTCAACCACATATCCAAGACAGTCACTTCATGCATAAAACTCAAGACATCAAAATCAAGACCGAGCCATCTAGGTCCTCACCGGGTAAAGAGTGTAAAGAATAAGGAAATGAATCGCTCACTCTCGGCCAGTGGGGTCAGGACAATTTGATGGAAAAATGCGCATGCGTATTCTCTCAATCCCTAACGTCTCTTCACCATGACAACAACCTCTAAATGTTAGAGTTCACATATTGGGTGTCATCACTAACTAATCCGGAGGTCTTAGACACAGACTCAAATGACTGGCTAGGGTCTTGGACATAGGGAAAAGACCTTTTAGGTGGTGGAAGTATTCATAAAGCAAGGTTTCACAGTTTCAAAACCAATCACAGCCACATTCATTCAAACCAATTACTTTTTTCTCTGCCATTCTGCATTAATCACGTTCTTTAGAGCACAAGAGTGAAGGATGTTACAATACTGCTAGTGTTCCTCATCCAGACTGCTAAGAAACACTATCTACTGAGCATGATTCGGATTTTTGGTGGTGGTTCTCCTTTGCTTTCATTTTTTCCTTTTTTCTTTATTATTTTTTCATTTCTTGAGAGAACCACCACCTCTGCACATTTTTCAAACACATGCCCAACTTTTAAGAACTACCTCCAACCCTCACATTATTTATAGCAGAAACAACAGAGAACATGCAAAAACCACTCTGTGGAACCTCTAAGAGACGCAAAAGGGTAATTTTTATTTTATTTTATTGTAGACCGAAAGAAGGAAAGTGACACGGCTCAAAGGGGATGACTAGGGGGTATGACACACCAGGACAGTCAATTTGGTCGTGGGCTATTCCTATGCCTCCATCATCCTAGTTAGTGACAACGTGAATGCTACACATCATGGAAGAGGGATCTATCGCACAAGAAAGAAACGAGCAGGCTCAAATCTCACATGGCTAGCTATATGCTCTATCTCTCATTCTGATTCCCTGAACTAGATGCATGAGCAACTGTAGAAAATAAGTGATCAATTCAAGTCACAGTTGGTAAGCAGGCATTAAAAAAATGAACCCTACACATCTTAGTCATCAGTAACGGTTGTCCTAGTCACAATCAAGTCGTCATGCATCAATTCTAATAGCCATTCGATTCACCAATTAAACCACAATGCCAATATGATCATGCATACATCATTACTTGGAGCCCTCAAATCTTAAGATTTGGACAGGGGACTAGGCCCCAAGCACACACAAATATGTTCCAATAAAGGCAAAGCACCCCCCCCCCTCCCCACACACACACACACTTAAATGTGACAGTGTCCTCAATGGAGTAGAGGGAAGGGGAACGATGATGTTACCGTGAAATGAAGATCAGGAACGGGGACTGGAAGGCAGACCAGTCAAGGGCAGGGGACTGGAAGGGGACCAGTCCAAGGGCACATAGCGAGAGGCATGAAAACACATACACACACACACACACACACACACACACACACTAGGTGAAAGAACCATAGATCCATGTCTACAATCCAAATGAAAAGGAAATCCAGAACCAACAACGACAGGGAGTCTCAGTCTGGAAAAGAAACGAAGTACATAACCCTCAAATCTCCACTAGATCACATCGCCACCATCGCCTATGGGAGGTGGGTAGTCGTCCTCGTACCCCAGTGACTGCACGAAGGGGTAGTGGACCGAGTTCTTGTCCAGGACCAGATAGTGCATGATGTAGTGCTGGCCTGACATGAAACAACGGTCGTGGTCCCGCTCACGATCAAGGCGGGCGTGGATATGCTCCTGACTAGCTAAATTTGCTCGTTCTGACGAGCAATGGCTGCTAACTCGTCAGC